CGTCTCGTAGTGAGTTGGAGTGTAATAATCATAATCGCCTTGAGATGTTGGGTAAGAATGGTTCGGGTCATACTCTTGGAATGGAGAGTATCCGTCATAGAAATAGGGATTTGAATAGCTCGGACACAGATAGGGTGGCCCTCCATAAGAGTACATCTTCTCTTGGTAGTTGTCGGGATATACGGAACGAGCTTCCGGCATAAGAATGGCCGTACGGGTCCATCGGAGCTCCTCAAGCGAAAGACCTCGCACAAGAAAAACAAAACAACCAAGGCACACGAGACCAAAAAAAAAATGCAACTAACAATACACGATATTTACACAAAAAGAAAAGAAAAAAAAACGAAACAAAAACAAGAGAAACGGAAAATAAGAAATCAAGAGAAACACTAAATTAAGCAAATATCACAAGAGCAAGAGAAATACAGAAAATAAGATCAACACCAAAACCAAATATCCTACTTGCCCTCCCCGGCAATGGCGCCAAATTTGTTGTAGCAAATTATTTTTATTTTTATCGAGTACCGAATCAAAAGATTCTTTCCCCGGGTCGATCTCTCAAGGAAGACGGTTCGGAATTTAGCGTTGGTATTGATCACACACGAAAAGAAAATAAATCCTAAACACTCTAATCACGATTAATTTGGTGAATTAACTAAAACAAGCTAGAACTAGAAAAGCAATTTAAAGAAATAACAGTTAAATCTCTAGAGAAAAGGAAGAAGTTCTAGGGGTTGGAAAATCTCATCAAGTTTCAAACTATGTTGAACGATTATTTGTTCGGTTACGAGATTTAACAAGCCTACACGTCTAGAGGGCTATGCTCAATAACTCTTCGTAACAAGAGCACATACATAAACGATAAACTCATTCAAACAAGCAACACATAGACAATACGTTTCCGAACAAGTCTACTCTATACGAGCCTAAATCGACCGACATCTCCCCTCTCGGTTCTAAACGTCGATTAATTAGGTTAGAATGGTGATCAATCAACTAACCCTATAATTCACATCATAGATTGAACAAAACACATTCCACATAATTCAAACAAGAATCAAAATCCCTAACCCTAGGTGAATGGATTACCTCATGGTTAGATTCAATCTCATGTTAACTGGAATTAAAAACATTAAACCAATCAAAAATAATAAAATAGAATTGAAAAACTTACAATCGGATTAAGACTTGAAAGATTTCAATCCAAATGTCTTTGTGTCCAACAATCCAAGCATGAGAAAATAAAAAGAAAAGCGGAGAAAATTATCCTAACAATATTGAGTTTTTGGAGAGAAAACATCGAATGAAAGATATTGGGGATTGTTCCTTAGGTCTGGAGGTTCGTTTTGATATATAGTGCGCGAA